TTGGATGCAAATGAAACAAAGAATCCTATTCTATAAGAAATGACACGTGGTCTGTCCAAGCTAAAAGAAGATTGTTYGAAAAGGTCTTTCTTGAATACCGCAGTGTACCTTCTGCATCAGAAAATTCGCAATTGAGTCACTGATATGGRTTATTATAATGGYAGCTTTCCCGGAATTGAAGTCAAATGCGCTTTAGCCTTGGCCAGGATCAGGATCACACACAAAAACGACGCCYATTTTATGACACCAAACAAACCAACCATCAGAACCATACAACCTWGCAAGCAACTCAACCCAAGCTAAACAACTTTACTCTAATTTCTGTTACAAAGGGTGTTTCACGAGTTAGAATCAAACAGGCTGTCAACATGCATTTCATTTTGTAGTTTAGCTTGGTTGGYTAATGTGCTTTCTGCTTAACAAGAAGTCCATAGTTTGATCCTAACTAACCTTGCATATGCAATTRTTTTGAGGGGTAAATAACACTAGGTTGTTCACTGTGCTGCCTGCTAAACAATATGTCAATCGTTAGATTCCGTATCTTTCTCTCTTACTTTTTCCTCTGCACCTGTTCAACTTGTCTTCGCAAGGAACAATAGGCTTTTTAAGAAAATAAATATATTTTTGAAATYAAATTAGGATAATTGTTAATTTAAGATGACATGTTTTTGTGTAAACATAGTAGCTATAATTTTATTTTTGGTTTACTTACTCAAAGTGCTTAATTTGTCATTATCTAGAAATGCAAATTTGAACTATTGCTAAGTTGAGGACAATCACGCAGTGGTCACTTAACCTTTTCGGATTGATCTCGAATTACTTCGCACTTTTGTTTTGAGTCATAAATATGAGTTGCTTTTTTCAGGTTTGTCAACTGTCAGGTTGGGCAAATTTTGGTAGTGTCAAACAAACYTTGTCAGCATGGTGCGACATCACTTAAAGATGTCTTTATTATTTAGATCTTTTCTTTCTTTTATAATGCAAGTCAGGATTTCGTCGTGGTAAAACACTCGCCTCTCACCTCTGAGGTCCGGGTTACGARTCCCAGTCTGAAACCGACCCTTACTCAATCACACCGGTTAGCGGAGCTGTGCTCCGGGCGGGTCATACATAGACTGTATAGCAGCTGCCTTCTCATTGCCTTCAGTATTGCCGAGCTAGCTTGATATTGCACGTGAGTAGAGTTATTTGTTGGTTCTCATGTGCTTCGAGGGTTTTTTYCCGGGTCCTCYGCCGGTTTTCCTCCCTCCACACAAATCAACTCCTAAATTCCAATTCGATCATGGAACAAGGACAACAGGTTTGTTAGGCGTCACTGGTTAGTTAGTGGAACCTTTGTAAAAACAAGGACGGCTTTTTATCTCATTGGGCTGCTTTACTTGAGGTGGTGAATTTACGATAAA